GACACTGTGAAATGAGCAATCTGAATATAAAGGCCTTAAACTTTGAGTCTTTTCAGTGAACTGATCAGTAAAACCCAAGAACCTGTTAGACTGCATAGACAATGAGGAGAAGTATTCAGTATTTTCAGTTCCAAGTGAAGTCAATAGCAGCCATGGGAGACTGAAACAAGTCTATGAATACCTTACAAGATGAGATCCTCATATTGCCAGTGATTATATTCTGCACATGGGTTTCAAATCCATAACAGAATCAGAAAGACATTTGTTTGAGGTATTTATAGAGCATCTGTTTGACTAACCATCTGTGCTCTGATTGAAGTATACACTTGGTCCAGACTGAATAAAAACCATTTATATGAATTAGAATAGTAACTTTGACACTGTTACATCTAAAGAGTTTGCTCCTAGTGACTTTGCTGACCTGTTTGCACGTAAAGGTAAATTTTGAAACTGTAAGATCTGAAAGGCAGCATGAGGAAAGAGTGTAAGTAGTCTGTCCACTTCAAAAAGGCTTTGAAGTTAAGAGATGCTGTTTGAACACTGCATGCCTTTCAAAACTGCTTCTTGCTTAGGGTCTGGATTAAGCTGGCTGCCTTCTTCTGTTTCTGAGTAGCTTTGGGGTTTATTTGTGAGGGTAAGGGTATGAATATGCTGAGGTATTTTGCTGTGCTTTCACTTCTATTTCAAAATGAGATTCATCCCCTTTTTGTTGTTCACAGTGTTCAGTACAGATATTAGCAAAACAGTAGAAATGTAGCTCACTGTAGCTTGGAGTTAATTGCATTGAGAAACCTCACTGTGTTCACTCAGTTCACTTCCTTCAACATTATTTTTTCATGGATCAGTATGTTTTGTATATTCAAAATGCTGAGATTAGGAATCATAATGTAAAGATGAAAAGCAGTAGGCTGTAATACGATTGATTCAAAAAAATATATGTAATGGTCACCTATTTATTGAGATTGCTCCTTAGGAATGATGATTGAGCAGCAAGTTTTTGGAAGCTGGTTATGCTTGTTCAAGATAGTAGAAAATTGAAGTTTCTGATATTGTTTCACAAGATTAATTTTCTTTAGTGATAACCTGGGGAATTCTTTAAATTACCTCATCTTAGTTGATGAAGCACCATCTGCCACATCTGCAAAGAAGATAATTATTTTTAGGAGCAGCTGTGGGTTTTTTGATTAAGTCTTGAGTCATCGAGGTCAGTATTTTTGAATTATTCAACACAGGAAGGAAGAAGAAATTGGTTTGTATTTTGTCAGTAATAGAGGATGCATTGTTATTATAGTTAGTGACATAAACCTTGTAGATATTTACTACAGTCCTCTAATTTCCAAGAAATTTGTTCTTTTTTTTTTTTTTTTTTTTTGAGTGCATTTAGCTTTGTAGGAAAAAAATTACCAGTCAGAATTCATTAATCAGTAAGACAGTACCTGGTAGCAAATCAGTGACTGTGTAGACTCTTCTGTTAATAGAAGTGTTAAAGTGAAAATGGCACATTCTCAATGCTGAGTCACAGGTCCAGGTTCCCAACTTCAGTTTCAAAAGCTGAGTTGTGGATTAGGACCTGTCACCAAAAGAAAACTCCCCAAATGAGCCGTCCCTTAACAGAGATTCTTTGTTACCTCTGTGGCTTTTCATGATAGTGTCAAGTCAGATGAGCACCTCTAAGTCAGATCAGCATTCTCCATCACACACTAAACAAGGGAGCCAAGCTAACTTGAGAACTGGGACCTGAAATCTTTGATATCTTTCTTTATCTTGTAGTGTAAAGGCTCCAATCTGTGCCAGATGCCTTGAAAGACCCGAGCACTTTGTGTAAACTCTTAATGGGAAGTAAAGAGTACCTGGATGCAGAGCTAGCACTCGATGATGAGCTGGCTACATCTCTGCAAGAGCTTCTCTCAGCTTCCTGCTGTTGAGGAACTAATGAGAGCAGGCACCTTCTCAAAGACAGGATAGTTTTTCCCTGGGGAGTTAATGGAAAGTAGGTTTATCTTACTGCCTTTGCTAAAGAGTGAAGTGGTGGAGCTGTATGGCCTGAGGAGGGGCTCTTGAGAAATCACTCACCTCTTGAAAATGAAAGCTTAGAAAGGGCACCCACAGGATAAAAAAAAAGAAGAGGGAACTTTTACTGAGGTCTGAGATAACTGAAAAAGAGATGTTTAAAAGCCAAACCTGTATTCCACGTTGGAAGACAGACACGTGAATCTGAAGGTATCTAGGCAGGACCTCATACACTGCACCTCCCTGAGCTATGCAAGACTCCCAGCCTCAATAAGCACAGCTAGGTGCTCATTTTTCCATCAGTTAGCATGCACTGCCACGTGTCTACTTTGTGTGATACCTAGAGATGACCATGAACCTAACACACACACACACACAAAAAGAAGCCCTGAAAGTGTTACAAACACTTGTAAATGCATTGCCCCTCGTCCTGTGAAACACAGGTGCTGATTTTTCCTGTGCTCCAAGTAATCAGCTGGACGTGGCTGAGGACTGGGATACCTGACAAGAGAATTCAGGTTTACCAGATTTCAGGAACACCACAGGCAGTTATGTTTCCTGTCTGAACTTCAGTCAGAGACGGAATCTTGTCTCTTTGGAAACATTTAATGACAGCCTACATTTATTTCACTCATCACATACTTTTAACAAGATTTGCTATATTTACGAATGAAAAGTGGGCTTATTTTGAGAAGAACACAGATTTAAAAGTATGAAGAAGATTTTACAGATATTTCACTCTCCACATGACCAGGAGGAGAGATTTACTTCTGTATGGGGCACGCCATGTGCTACCCATTACTGGAGTATTGTCCAGAGACAGCACAGATTTATTAGTTCTCCAGAATGTGACTCTTCAACTATATTTTCCAGCTATGCTTTAATGTACTATTCTCCTTGTACAGTTTAATTAAGTTCCAAACAAGGCCTTCAGTTAGTGGTCAATCTGTCCTCTTTGTTGCCTTTAGACTCAGCAGCACTTCGTGCACTGGCAGTTCAGGTGTACTGAGAGCACAGGGTGTAACTGAGAGCAAAGAGTCATTACCAGCATCTCAGCTCCCTGTAGGGAAAAGAAGTGGCAAAGCCACTCAGTGTTCCTCTCAGTGAAAAGCAGGAGAAAAACACAAGCCCTGTACTTCAACCTACAGGTCAGACCTGGTCTGTAATTTCCTCTTAGATTGCAGGGGTGATACATCTTACAGAAAGAGGCAGGGCACAGCCTCTCCTGGGAGTAGTCAGCTTTACCTACTACAGAGGCTGCACCTAAATGTGGACTTATCAAGGAGGATACTTATCATATTTGACCCTCTGAAGTGGTGCTTATTTTTAATGAAGATATAAAAGCAGAACTGACTTACTATGTTTAATGTCCCTCATTCTGTTAAAGAACTCTGTATAAGGCCAATAAAATGCTATTTTGCTTTGTCAAATGCCAGAGAAATCACTGCCCAGAAATGTTACTGGTAATCTTTATCAACTGAGCAATGAAGCAGAATTTTGTAAACAGGCAAAAGTACTTGTTCTAGATACAAAGGATGCTGATATCTTCCAGAGTATTAAGTGTTATCACACTTTTCAAGTGGAGTCAGTTAACCCTCTGGTCTCACTTGTGCATCGGTATTCAATCCTCACATGCAATTCATGGAATTTCCCCCAGCTGGCAATTAACAAGCACTAAGTTAGTTTTACATTTTTCATTCACTCTTTTAATACCAGCACGTCTAGGTACTTTTCTTAAATAATTATAGAAGAGCACCACACACATCAGCAAATTTCTTTTTGACAAAGTTACTTGTCAGTGGGGATGGATATATTCATATCTAGTCCTAAGCAGTATCAAGTGAAATGTATATCCACGGATCTTTGAGAGAAAAGTAGCCTTACTGATGCTTGGCTGTAGATTTGGGGGGAAGGGGGTGGGGGTGAAAGGACAGGAGCTTAACTAGCCTTCTCTTAAGATATTGGTTTGAAGCTCCAGAATTGGTGGTGGCTTATGAAAATGCATTTTAGGTTTTAATTGAGTGTACCAGGAAATGGCACATGGTCTGTTATCCCACTGGAACTGATGAAAGATCACTGCTCAAGCCCTGGCAACCTGGTCACTCGTTATGGTCTATCACAACATGCTCCACAGTCTCTCATAGGTGACTTGCAATAATTAATAGCACTCCAGAGACCCAGTCTGGGAAACAGAACTTGATCATGTTGGGCACTCTTTACCTTTCTGGAGAAATAACCCTTTAGCTCTGGGTGGTAAAGGAGGGAGAAGCTTCACTGGTCTTGTGACATTATGGTTATTACATGAAGGAAGATCTTACAAGACTGGCCTGGGTGGTACCTGCAGTGTGTGCAAATAACTTGGAAGGGGGGAATTTGCCTTTGTGGTTTTGCACTTCACATCTGCACAGTCCCAAAGTAAATATATTTGTTGTGTACAAGTGACTCACAAAACAGAGTATGAGCACGACTTGCCTTCGCTCTAAACCCGCAATGTATCAAGCAATTCCATCTGGATTGCAGAATTCTAGCTCTCCTGTTGTGGTTTTTTGCATTTTAGTCCCCACCCCTTTACTTCTATCCTAGCAGGTAAAAATGCAGCAAATATCTCTGTTGTTTACCAAGCTGAATTTATGCAACAAGTATTTCATTTGCTGCTCCAACCTGTCTGCTTGTGAAAATGAGCTAGTATCACTTTTTACAGTGTCATTCAAGACAGACAGATATGACTATAAGCAGTTTATGCTATCCTCTAGTCTTTGAAAGACAGCAGTCTGCTATTTTATATAAAAGTATGTAGCTCAGGAGAATCTCCCAAAAAGGCAAAATTAGCAATAAACAGCAGTAGTAACATCAGCAAGGAGACTATAGACTGCTTCCTGTATTCTAAGTTACACCTCTTTACTGAACTGTGTTTTGGTATAATTGGAGTTATTTACGTAGCTGAGTCACTAGAAAGGCTTTTGGGGGCTTGTTTCTTCTTTGTTCTTCAGCAACTTCGAATCTCCACTGATGCACGAAGTCCCAGAGCGCCAAGGCAGCAGCACAGACAGTTCTGCAAGCAGTTTGGGAAGCTCTGTCACAGCATGTAAGAAGGTAACTTCTAAGTTTATGTTATATTCAAAGTCAGATATATACATGGCTCTGCTTTTTAGCTTTTGCCTTTGTTGGGGAATACAAAATTTAAGTGATACTTTGAAAAGAAAAGGTCTTGATACAGAAAAATAAATATTGGTGCTGTTATGGTATCTTGCAGTTTCTGTCTGCTTCGTCTATGAAGCAGGTTTTCTGTCCTCCCTAGTGTCTCACTGGCAGGGTTTCTACAACAGGGGGTGGTATACACTGCTGTTATTGTTTCCTAAAAACAGGTTTATATGTGCTTGTTTAATTTAGAGGGGAAAAAATGGCACCTGTGTGTGTATGTGTGTCATTAGGAGGGCTCAGGTGTTATTTTATGCATGCAGCTAATTTCAGTACAACTGAAAATACAAAGGTGAAGACCATTTCTCCTCCCTAGAACCATGCTGTGGCAGAGGGAAGGAGGTCACTACCAAAGACTATTGAGGAGGACAGGCTACCTTTCACCTCAGAGCTCTACTGTCTCCCACAGCCATAATTCCAGAGCTGAAAACATAGCATTTGTTATAAACCTTTACAGTGCATTCAGTCTTCCTGTAATTCTTACTTTCTTCCTCCTCCTTCTTTCACTAGTAAGAATAATACACTTTCCTTTTGGGTTTGGAGTTTTTTGTTTTTCAGACTAATTACAATATATATTTATGTATGTAAGGAGAGAGAAGGATAAAACTTGTAGATGCTAAAGATTTATTTTCCTTATCCTGAAAACCACACACAAGAAATTTTGGTAGATATAATATCATTGATAGAAAAAAAAAAAAAGAACTCAATAAAGTGGATATGTGTGCTGGGACTGGGCTTCTCCAGCTCACCTCAACATGAAGTGTCAATATTTCATTGATCAAAAGGCTCCTTTGCAAAATAATATGTTATTTTTAAAAAGGCTGCCGTGTTTAATAGGAACCTTCACGCAGAAAATCTACTGTGTGGGAGAACATCTTAAATTTTCATTTAATCTCAGAGTTGTCTACTTCATGTAAGAGTGAAGGACAGTGGCACAGCACTGAGAAGTGCCATCACTGTCTTTACAAGTGCCCTTCTTGGTCACCTTCAGAAACATCACTGTCTTTTAAAGGCTGGGCTTTACCACATGATTGAGAGCTGCTTCACCTCTCTGATCCCATGAATTTGGACTGTTCATTGTAACACGAGTCCGTGTTGTGATTGTCAGCACACTAAAGTAAGTGATTCACTTCTGACAACACTTCTGACAACCGGCAGGATATTTTGGGCTTCTTAACAGCATTGTCAGAGAAAGTATTACTGTTCTTTTGTGTGTGTGGAAAAGGATAAAGAATTCTCTTTTAGCCTTTGTTAGGTACAGTAATTTTTAAGTTAGATGTGTAATTGGTGGTGAAGTGAAATGCTATGAGTTCCTGCTGCAAGGGAACAGTTTAAACTTGCAGATTTGAGTGATTGTATTTGGCATGAATGGCTCCTGCCAGGAACCATATGACATGGAACCTGAATGAATGCAGAAGATGTGCCCCTTGATATCTCATTTTATTCTGTATGTCCCACTGTATGTCCCACTTTCCTGTCTTTTTTGATGAGTAGTAATTAACCAAAGCAATTAGGAGGATCAGTCATGGAGACGCAGATGTTTCATTTGGGGAGCAGAGCTTTTTTAATGCTGTCTCGGTTATAGATATTTAGTGTATTTTAATGCCTTATGATCTAAATCAGGGAGCAGGAAGCTGTTACACTAAACTCATATGCAGTATTTTCCTCTGGGAAAGAGTGACTTTTCGAATCCACACTCTGCCAGAGGCTGATTTAGTTCATTGATTCACAACACAGTGAGTAATGCTGACGGCTGAGTCTCTAGATGAGAGTGGAAAACTTTTTTTAGAACCATGAATTACTGCTGATTTCACATTTAGTGCATGATGCAGATTCATCCTGAATTATTTTCTGAGTGTGATGATCCTGCTCCAAACCAGATATGCAGCAGTATAGCGTGTGCAGCTGTCACACGAGCACGGTCAACAAATCAAGCTCTGCTTTCCGTTGTGCCACTGCAAACCAAAAGCAACCTTGCTGAGTTCAGCAAAAATGCTAACAATATGTCAGTGGGATTGGCCCTGAACTTGTCTAAATTAGGTAAGAATGAATAGAAGTACAAGACAGGAGGAGGAAATTTTGGCAAGTGATACTGTTTGCCTTAGGAGTGCAGACTGGCAGCTGACGTTGTACAGGCTTAGGTTTTTTTATCATTTGGTGCAGACCACCTCAGTATATTTTGAACATATGCTTAAATGCAAAAATAGCAATTGGAATGTATTGGTGGAGATACAGATCTGAGGAATACCAGCTCTCACACTGCTTTTGATCAATTATTTAGCTCTGCTAATTTAGGTCAACTCTTTCAAGCTTATGCACTTTTGATCATTGCAGTCATACATTATTTTACTATAAGGACTTCAGTATATTCCTTTAAAAGCATGAACATCCCAGCAAGTTCTAATGCACATGCAAACTCACACTTTATATAAACACATGAACCTATTTAACAGGGAGAATTGCCTTACAACAGCGAGGGTGTGTAAGAAATATTACATTCATTCTTACCGTATGTTTGTCTTTGACCACGATAATCTGCTGTCTGTTATCAAAGAAATGCGCCCAAAAGTTCACTTCTAGAGATGCATTTCTGCACAGCAGGTGTGTGGAACCCTAACTGTGATCAGCACTGCAGGGTGGCCCAAATTATTCTTCCTCCACTTCCTTAGAAGTACTAATGGGAAGGCTTTCAGCAGTAATGATCCTAATGCAGTAACTTGTGTTTTTGTAACATGGAGTTTAAACTCAACCAAAGTTTTACTCCTCATTCCTGCCACTGCTTACTCAAATGTCACCTTCTATCTCCCATTCAAATACATGTAAAACCAGGCCATGTGCAAGGAGACCTCTTGCACATGTCCCCCCATGCCTCCTGCTCCCACAGCACTGTCTTTTCTGGGGAATTTCTGGACACTTTCCTGATGACTTTGGGCCACCCTGTGTTCCTTAGATCGCTGCTGCCAACTTCTACTGCGTAGACTTGAATAGATCTGGTTTTATTTTTCTCACCTGTCTTTTTCAAATCCAAATGCTGCAAATTATTTCCCCCAGTACTAAAAATGTTATGCCTATTTCACCCTTTGCATTTCTGGCTGCACAGAACTGCTTATGCACAGGAGAGAAGAGTCTGGCCCAGGGCAAATATAATTGTTCCAATGTTCGTTTCCTTGAGGTTACTTAAAAATCACGTGCTGTCCAAAATTTCCATGTAATGATTTCTACCCTTGACTTCAAAGTCCACTATGAAAAGCTTCACACAAAAAAATTAAATGCAATATAAAGCTTTGCAACTTATAAACCATCCTGGAGTGACCCAAGCTTGGCCTGACCTGACCTGACTGAAACATTTGTTCAGGAGAGTTATTTCTTCTGCTGTTGCCTTGCCAGTATGTGCTTCCTGATAAAAACATCCTCTGAAAGAAAGAGGGAACTACCAAGGGTCATTTAACATCCCACAGGAGACAAACCAGGTGAAGTGTGGACTACACAGGTCATTTTCGTGGGTTTATCATCTACAACACAATTCTGCTATGATACAGCTGTCCTGTAATGCACACCAAGTCCTTACGAGAAAAAGAACAGTGCCAGGGATTTCTGCAGCTTGTTTCTGGATGATAAATTTCTGCCTATCACAGTTTCTCAGAAACTGTCTGAGTTTTGGGAAAGGATAGATCTAAAGTGATTAAGGCTGAAGACAAGTTCACTGGGATTTTTAAGGAAATGAAACAAGATTGCTTGTTACAGCAAAAGCGATTTGAGTTAAAGAGAACTATTTCCTGTGTATGCAAAATTATGTCTTAAGAGGTAGAACTTCAGCCCCTGAGGATGAGAATATCTAGAATTCAATGAGATCTGAAATCATATATGTTTGTAGATACATATGTGCATGTCTGGATATGTTCAATTCTATATGTTTCCATAAAAGGGCTCAGAGGATAGTAATTTTTGCAAAAGAGGAAAAAAATGCTTAATTCTAGATTTTATCAACCAGTCCATAATGCTTCAGTATTTCCACATTTAGAAAGATTTTCTTAAAAAAAAAAAAAAGAGAGAGAGAAAAAAAAAAAGAAAAGAAAAAATGAACATGTTATTACACTAACAGGAAATTGCTTCTTTAGAATATGGAGTATATTATTTTCCCCATCTAGTCTGGTTATGGCGGCAGGAATCGTTTTGCACTGAGACAGGAGGTTATAAAATTTATTGAGTCATTCGACTGGTAAACAAGATTAGCCAGCAGCCCCCAAACAGAGGCTGGTGTTCATGTGAAGCATTCATGAGCCTTTTTCACCCTGGGCACAGTGCTTTTTCCAAGTATTTTGTGAACCCTAAATTTGTATTCAAAAGCTCTTTGGAAAAAAATCCCGTAGCAGGGCTGGGGTACCAAGAAACAACCACCTCAAAGGTGGAAAGGCTTTGTGGAGAGTACCAAAGCAGGGCACTGAAGCAGGGCAAGTACAGTTAACTCTTCATCCATCTTCTATTTATTCAGAAATCAATATAGAATAATACAGGGAGTCAAGTATTAACTATCTAACTGGCTTTCTAGCAGAAAGATAAAAATTAGAGTGGGTTAGTTTGTGGGTGGTAGCAAGCTCACCTCTGAATTGCCCCTGAGTGTTAGGAAATTGTATCAACTGGCCAGATCAGCTTCCCACAGCCATTCATCTTCCCTGAGAAATGAGAAGGGCTCACAAGTTCTCACTTCTCTTCCTAAGGAAGGGATCTAGGCTTACAGATCAAGTGTTCTGGAAGCAGGACAAATGTGTGACGGTGCAAAACTTTCACTAAGGTCAAGAAAAGCACTGTAGATAGATTTTATTTTTTCCCTCAGGTATAGCAACGAATTGATGTTTTTAAATATTATTAAAATCAAATTGTAAAAACTAGAGTACAGTCTATTTCCATGTAATACAAGAATTGCAAGAAGTACAAATAAAATACACACCTATTTCACAAACACACTTAACTTGCTCCCTTCACTTCTGTGCTTGCTGCCTGGGGAAGATGATAAACCATATAAAGTGTTCTGTAAGTAGCATCGATGTTGCAGCTATTTTCTTCTTCCTGTTATTCCCGAATACTAATGGTCCCTAATACTGCTTTTTTTATGGAAGAATATTAGTACAGGGGCAGAAAACAGAGAATTCAGTTCAATCTAAACGTCAGATTTACAAAACTGGCTTTGCCTCTTTATAGTCTGCAGACATCTGTAGCCCCCTTTCCTTTTTGCTCGAGCAAAGCCCGTGGCAGAGTCTGCAGGGCTGAGTCAACACAGAGATGAAACGCAAAGTTTTGATCTCAGGGTACTGACTGAGCTCAGGACTCATTACAGAAAAGATCTTAAGTACTTCAGCTTCTCAGAAAGCAGAAAAAATTGTCCAAGAAGAAAGAGTTTGGAGCCTTGGCGGTCCCAGAAATGAGACTGCTGGCAGAAGGGCTGGTGCTGATCTGTTGTGGAGAGAGATGCAGTCGTTCCTAAAGGCTGCAAGTTTGTGTACTCTGGTATAATTAAATAATTTGTTTTCCCAACATTTATGTTTATGACTTTAGCATAGAACAAAACTCATAGAAATATTTTCCAGTAAAAATACTGGGTTTAGGTGTCTCCTTCAAGTGTCTCAGGACTTTCAGTTCTGAAGTACTTTAGGGGATGTATAAATGATTTGGCTTAAAGTACACTAACTGGATGGGTCCAAACCAAAAAGGGGTCCATCTTGCCCCCTCAAAATTTTGTGGGCAAATTTTCCTTTGAGTTACAACAACAGTGTTCAGGCCTCCAAAGCGCAGTAGGACTGAGTGAATTTTTTAAATTATTTTAACTATTTTTAACTATTTCAACAGATTCTCTGCAGTAACAGTCTGCTAGAATCAACAGACTACTGGCTGCAGAATCAGAGGACACCATGCCAGATTGGCTTTCTAGAAGACAAGTCGGAAAGCAACTGTGCCTCAGTGAGTACCACTGTCATCTCCTCTGGAGAAAAGTCCTTTGAGAGTTGTTTGGGTAGGGTGTGGGGCTGACAAGAGCACATGTTGAATTAAAAGTGTCTGAAATTTCCGGTTTTCTTTTAAAAGCAAACCTATAAACTAAAGAAAAAGTAGATATTTATATACAAACACATTAATAAAGATTACAGCAGAGGTTTCTCCACATTTGGCTTTCAGATTTTGTGGCCCTCTGTATTTTTTTAGGTTTGTAGTCTGCAACTGACAAGAGAGAAAAATAAGCCAAAGAGAAAATTATTCCAAACCATAACTTGTAAAGTGGCAGGTTGGAAAGAGCAGATGTTTAAAAGGCTGCTCAATGTTCCTGAAGGCAGAGACACAATTAAAGAGAAAACTCTTCCCATATTAGATGAGGAGTAGCTACTAAAGAACTCAAACAGAACTACTTTACATTTGAAATTAAATTTAAATCTCATTATTTTGGGTTATAATGCCATTAAGAACAGCTTTTGGTTAACAATATGCATGAAGAAATAGGAGTTATGTTGCTTTACACACCATCTACATAAAACTGGATGAAAACACATTGCTTTGTTTTTAATAGTCTTTTACTTGATGAAAGACTCAGGAGAGCAGATCCTTAGTCAGAATCCTATTTGAGTGCTACTCCCTGGTCTCAGTGAGCCAAGAAGGACTTCAGAAAAGATCAGCTTTGTCTCAGGTGAGAGGTTTCCAGCACTGCTTGCGCTGCACACAACTTAAAGCCCAGCTGGGGGCTCTCATGAAGCCTGCTGGGATTCCCTCAAGGACATGGAGATACCAACCCTGAGTGAGGAACCCAGACCTTGCTGCAAGAAACACAATCTCCATCTAAACAGACTCCTGATGCTGATTGAAACAAGGGAGAGGATATTAAAGAGTAATGCCCAGTGGTACTGATTTCCTAAACTTCTAAAGCCAGAGAGACAGCAGTTCCCTGTTCTTTCGACCATTCTGCGTTGTTCTCCCAAGCCAAAGGGTCACAAGCTTTGTGAAAAACAAACATTGTGAAGTACAAACATTGATCAATTGCAGCTGAAATCTTGTCACTTGAGCAGTACCCTGAGTGCATTCTTAACCAAAACAGGTTCATCAGACAAATAATCAGTGGTACCCTTGTTGCTTGATGTAAGAAGGGGTTGTTTTTAAGGCAGAACACATTGACCACAGTCACCTAGTTTTACTAATTAGTATTTGCTAATACTAATATTTAGTATTTAATATACTAAAAAACGGGCTTATTTTCTCAGAGGAAAGGATTACTCCAAATAATAATATAAAAATTAATTACAGCTTGCTTTTTGACCTGTTGAGCTTTGACTTTATTGTTACTTTTTCATAGAATGTTAGAGGAAACTAAACCTATCTCTGATATGACAGAGCTACCAAGAAAACATAGCTTATTATAGAAAGACTATATTATATATTATATAGAAAGATTATACCATTGCTACCCTCCCTATTTCAGGTGACCCTGTCTGATTTTGCCATGCAGGCTACTCAAACAGGTTAAACTACCTCAAAGAACTTCTTCTTCTACACCAATATTAGAAGCAGTTTTTTCCTCTTCATAGTATATTTGACTAATTGCTAAACATTTCATTAAACTTAATTCAATTAACAGTGCTACTGTTTAGCAGCAGTTTACCACTGTAGATTAGAATACACAGTTTCATGCTAATATAATTAGGTAGTAAAAATTTTTAAAGTAGTTTAATTATGCAAGTCTTGTTTTGTTTGTTTCTACTGAATGAGAACTTAATCAAAACCCACCAAATAGAAAAAATACATCAATCCATGAGACATAAGCTCCCTGTAGTGATTTATAAATATAATTAAAATATCTGTTGGTGACATTACCCCATGGAGAGATCTCACAAAATAAATGTGGTTTCACATAAAAATATATACCTTTGTTTACTCCACTATTGCCAGCTATCTTTCTCTGGACCTACAACAAATGTCTCCTGCTTTGGACATGCTTTTAAGTAGACCTTATTTGAAAAGAAAAAACTAATAGATATTTTGTCCCTACTTTCCCTCCAAAGATCTAAAATTATTTAATTACCAGCACTGAAAATTTGTGGTTGGCTTACATTAGTACAACTTAAGAAGTCTTCCTTGCTTAGATGATTTATAGTTTGTTCTAACACTGAACTCTCTTAAAGTGCAAACTCTTAATCTTGAATACAGAAATGTCATTTACTACTTTATCTTAGCAGTTCCTGAGATTTAACATTTTTCTTTGCAGTGCCATTGCAGTATCACCATGATTATGGGGGTATTGCCACACCACTAAAAATGTCCCTTAATTGTCTGTTAGGAATTCTTAATGGAAGTTATTTAGAAAAAAATTAGGATACAAAACAAAACAAAAAGATGGGGATGTAGCCCTGCAAGACATTTGGCATTTGTTTGCCTCAAGATTAATCTTAAAGTATAGCAGGGAGTTTCCCAGAAATTCTCTGGACTTTCACTCTCCAAACCAGCAATGCATGGAAAAGCCATTAGAAAATATATTCAAATTGAAAAAAAACCCCACATTTTCTCTCAAAACGGACCCAGATTCAAATGATCTCCCCACAAAATGCACCATTATGCCCTATCACTCTTTGTGAGTGAGGAGGATGGGAGACAGGCATTCCCAACGAGGAATTGCTCTTGAGAATCACTGATCTAGGAAAGCAGACCCTTCCCTTCCCCAGCAGTGTGCCTCGGTGTGAGGGGCAGTGGATTTCCAGACGGGCAGAAATGCTGCAAACTTCCTGTCAAGCATCCTGGAGAAGCAGAAACACTTCACACCACATTATGTGGCAGTGACAGATAAGGCAGACAGAAAATATCTGCCTCTGGAGTAAAACAAAGCAATAAAAAACAGTGCTTGTTTCTTACTGTAGCATAACAAGATAACACTTTTTAAAGAATCAGGATGTGACAAGGCCTCTAAAGCTCATTTTAAAATTATTTTATATCTCCTTAAAGCTGAAAAAAACTCCGGCTTTGCAGGCAGACGGATGAAAGAAGAGTTTCAATGAAGCGTTAAAAGTTTTGAAACAATCTTGAAAAAGTCCAGCAACTTTTCTGTATGCAGGTGCTCCTACTCTGTATCTACACAGATGCTGACACCAGAATGCTCTGTACACCAGAGCATGCAATGCAGGCTGTATGCACAGACATGCAGTTGAATATTGGTCAGATCCAGCCCAAGGGAACAGCAGGAACACATGGCCAGAGCAGAGGGAAAGAAGGAACAGCAGCCCAAACTTCAGGCAGATTTAGTCATGGTGGAACACCCTCTCATCTAATTGTTGGCTGCTTTTTTTTGTGACCCCAGGCCATTTGCACTTTCTCTTGAAGATGTCTGATGACTGGGGAAGTGGGGACAGTGTAGACAGCAACAGCCACCGAGAGGGCCTATGCCACATGGAAAAACCTTAATCCATCTGCAGCACAGGAGGAGGAAGAGTTACACAGTTTAGGGTTGTAATTTGGTCAGTTGAGTGCAAGAGAACAGACCTTGGCCTCTCAAGGAAGGGAAGCAGTGCTTGTATCATTTGAAGAGACAAGACTGTTGCCTTGGTGAGAAATAGATCAAGTTGTTAACAAAGCAAACAGGTGATGTGATTGTGGATCTCGTTGCCTGCAATCCCTCTGTTTACTGACAGAGTGAATAATGTCATTTTGCCATCATAGCAGCTGGATTTTCAGAGCTGGCTGCTTGGCTTCTCTGTCCTAAGCAGGTACTCAAGCATTATCACTTCCATTGCAGTTTAGCCATCAAGCTTGTAGACAGGTTGAGGAGGAGGATAAGGATGTCATTATGCACTGATTTGAGCTGGCCAAATGAGGGTTTCTGTGGTGTCACCTCCTCCTCCAGCCCCTACTTCATCTCTTTTACTGCCCTGGCATTTGTACAAACATGCAATAAGTCAGTTCAGAGAGAGAAGTAACTATGAAATTAAGAAATTGCTTTTTTCTGGCCAGTTCTTCCTTGAATCATCTCACCATATTGTCAGATAAATGCCAGTGCTCACTCAAAGGATGGTACAAAAACATTCAGGAAACAAATCCCACAAATTAATTCAAACTGAATGATAACATATGCAAAAAGGAAAAATCCTTGGCAAGGTATATTTTGAGGGAAAAAAAAAAAAAAAGGAGAGCAACTTTCACTTGAATTAAAGTAGATTATGAGTGACTTTCATTCATTTCTTCACCCAAGTATTTTAAAAGATTTGACACTACATATCTTTAGATATTTAGGTACAAATAAACAGAATCATATTTTACATGAGTCTTTGATGCTAGAATAGCTTCCAAATAACTTGCTAATGGTGAGGACACTGGGTCAAGAGTGTTGAGATCTAAGCACCAGAATTTTTTCTGTCCCTGATTCAGGGCCCTTGCATTGCAGTGTGTTCTTCAGAGTGTCCAAAGAAGCAGAGCATGCCCTCACTGATCTACTCTTACAGGAGTTCAGAAAGGGTGCTTCTTCCCAGGACTGGCAATAGTCAACAAGGGTCTTTATACAGCCAAGTGTGAATCTTGAATCCCAAAGAACATATTTTTGTTGGCTTTTTTTTAAATAAAACCACATGTGTGTTCCTGAATAGTGACCGTGCATAACTGAAACAGTTGCTTTGTTTCATTGTGCTTGAATGAAGCTTTACATTTCCTAGTAAGCATAGCAAAGCCCTATTTTTCTGCATAAAACTGACAGATCTAAATACTAAGACATCTTCCCCCTCTCCTGAGATTGCATGAACATCCTCAGCACCATGTCACACAAACACAGAGGATGTTTATTTTACTTTTCACTCCATCATTACTCCACCATCTTCAGGAACAGCATTGTCTCTTTCAGAAATCAAAAATCCATCTGCTGCTTTCCCGATCTAAACCATAATTACTGGAGGTATTTTTAGTTTTAAGTCCCATCTTCCTATTCAGCTTGACGACACCTTAAT